TATCATGTAGGGGTGATGGTCTTATATGAATCTGGATTTATGATATTAGCGATACATTATTTTATAGTAGTATATTTAGTACTATCCCATTTTATTATAACATTTTATTGTATCATGGATTTTGTGTATTAGTTATTTGTTTTACCTTTGTTGATGTTTCTTATTCTTGTTGATATGGTTGTAAGACTAATCAATAAAGTTGAAAGACTCATAGTTATAACTTTCTAAAACTCTTAATTGCTCCATGTTGTCTAATACTTTCACTAAGCCCACCCTGAATAGGAAGTGGATCTTACCACTGCTTGCTATGTTCTGCAATCTTGTCTTTGTAGGTGAAGACTTTGACGGCAGAACTAGCTCTCAGAATGAATGAGAAGGAGCAGTTGGTAATCGAAAACAAGAGACTACAGGCAACTCTACAAGAAGTAATGCTGGACAACTCCTACCACAAAAAGAGAGTGAGTGACTTCTGGCAAACCATTTTCAGCCTGAGAATGGAGAACGACCATCTTCGGCGATCGTTGATTGGCTTCACTGAGAAGGTATGAGTAGGTTATTGGCACATGTAACAGTGGAGCCGTGTGAGAACTTTGGAGACAGACGTTATCTTTTCCTATAATTCTAGATAATAGAATATTAAAGCAAAATTCCTACAGCCTGTTGAATGGGATGAGTTTTTCTTGAGGGTATAAAACATAAAAGCTAAAATGGCACTTCTGAAACTCTGCCAGCATTGAAGCTTTAAAATATTTATTTAGTAATTCTTTCAGTTGCTTTTCTAATCTTGGGGCACTCAAGGGGACTAAGGTTAAAAGTGAAGTATGAAATGCAAAAGAATGGAAAAGAGCAGCTAGTGGTAAATCCTTTCAAACCAAGCTTTTGTCTCCTGGTGACTTTGTGGATCCATCCATGGAGCTTTTTAGGCGACCGCATGGAAGTGGCTTGCATTGTGTTTGCAGCCCTAGGATTTCCAAGTGGCTCAGAACCATTAAATGGTTATTTTGCTTTTACTGAGTTTATTATTTATTTAGCTTTTCAAAAGATTCCCTTAAGTTGAGCTTGACCTTGTGGACGCGTCCATGAGTGTTCTTGGCAGTGATATGGAAGCGGTTTGCATTGTCGTCTTCTGGAATGTTTTCTCATCTTCCAAACTACAGTAATGATTAATCCAGCTAAAATGGTCTGGGTTAAGAGAAAGGCCTGGATAGAAGGAGATGTGTGGGTTGAGAGCGACTCCCAAGGGGTGGGGGAGAATTGGCACTGACTCAGACAAAGGCCCTGTTTCGTGGGCTCAACTCTACCACTCTTGCCGACCTGGATTCTCAAATGCTGTTGAGTCCCTTGGATTCTAAGCTATTTAACTCTTCAAAGATGAAAATCAATACTTGTGCTCAGAATTAATATTATACAGGGAATTAACTTCAGATTTCTGGGCCCTGCAGACTATGGAGCAGAGTCTCCAGTATGATTTCTGAGACCAGTGTGGCAGGTTATGCTAAACCATGATTGGTTTTACTGCAGTTGGCTCCAGGTGGCAAGCCAAAACCAAAGAAATCACATCATGGCATTTTTGGGATGGCTCAGTTGTTGAAGTTCATGCCTGGATTCTTTTGACGGGGTGAAAACTGCTTTTGGATTCTGCATGCCGCTTTGAGAGCAGGCCGGTCCTTGTAGTTGGTCCTTTTTCCCCTCATTTCAGGAGGTTGTAAATAAACTGCCAGTAATGGAGAAGAAGAAGGACAGTATTACCATCCTGGCCCTCAACTTGAAGAGCGATCTGGAGGTGATGAAAACTGTGGCAGCCAAGGGACTCGCTGGTCTCCCTCTTGTCCAGACTGCTAACATCCTAAAACTTCAAATGTACTATGAACAAGCCAGTGATGAACTTTACTGCGTGTTGACTGATATTAAGGTATTGTTACTGCTGTCCAGTGACGCTCTGGAGAAGAAGATGGTCTTTCTCCTGATGATCCTTGCGCCTTAGTTGTGTCCATGAGGGGTGGTAACAGAAGGACTCTTTCTCCAGGGGTGGCCCTATCATTCTCTTCCTTTTCCAATCTGGTGATCACCAGATCTGTCGGCCTTCAGTTCCCAGGATTCTAGCTCGCAAGTCCAAGGCATCTGGATTTGAGGCAGCTTACAACAGACCGGCATGGGCTCATGTACCAAAGGCCCTTGTGTCCTGATTAGGGAGGGTCTTGAGTCAATAGCTCTCACTTAATCCTTTGTGAAATGTCTAACTGTATTTAAAAGAGCCCAAGTTGGTTGTCATTGCCGATTCTTGTGGCACTGACTTTCCTGCTTTAACTGTGCCCTGTGTAAATTACTCCCTCTTCCTCTTAAAGCATTTTTTAAGCAAAAAGGGTCATAGGTGGGTACAAATTTTCCTCATAGGGTGGCTGCTCCAGTCTCTAATCATCTGGAGGATCTGGGAGCCTCAAGTGACCCAAAAGACCTCCAGTTGAGGGAAGCTACAGAAGTTGATTTCCAAGGACCTTGCTTGGAAAGGTCCAAGCCCTATCAACTACAATGCCTGATGGGACTTGCTTAGTGCGATTTTCTTTCTTTCTTTCTTTCTTTCTTTCTTTCTTTCTTTCTTTCTTTCTTTCTTTCTTTCTTTCTTTCTTTCTTTCTTTCTTTCTT